CTAGTTCTGTGAAATATAGTGTTGGAATTTCAATTGGCATTGCATTGAATGTATATAGCAGTTTTGGTAGTATGGCCATTTTCACTATGTTGATTCTTCCTACCCAGGAGCAGGGGATATCTTTCCATTTTTTTATATCCTCTTCGATTTCTTTTTTCAGAGTGCTGTAGTTTTCAGTGTAGAGATCTTTTGTTTCTTTTGTTAGATTGATTCCTAGATATTTCATTTTTTTGGATGCTATTGTAAAAGGAATTTTTTCCCTTATTTCTCTTTCTGTCTGTCTGTTATTTGTGTATAGAAAGGCTATTGATTTTTGGGTATTCACCTTGTATCCAGATACTTTACTGACTCTGTCAATTAGGTGTTAATTGGCCATTTATTTTGTGTCTTCTGAGAAGTGTGTTCATTTCAGTTGGTCATCTTTAGACTGAGTCTATCATGGGGGGGGGTCTAAGTCTTTTGAGATCCTTAACTAATATTTTAATATAAAATCCCCTTTCAAATTCCATATATTGCTTTCACTCTTAGAAAGGCTATTGATTTTTGGGTATTCACCTTGTATCCAGATACTTTACTGACTCTGTCAATTAGGTGTTAATTGGCCATTTATATTTTGTCTTCTGAGAAGTGTGTTCATTTCAGTTGGTCATCTTTAGACTGAGTCTATCATGGGGGGGGGTCTAAGTCTTTTGAGATCCTTAACTAATATTTTAATATAAAATCCCCTTTCAAATTCCATATATTGTCCTTTCACTCTCTTGGTTGTTTCCTTTGTTGTGCAGAAGCATTATTAATTTGATATGATCCTATTTATTGATTCTTGATTCTGTTTCTTGTATAATTGGGGTTCTGTTCAGAAAATCCTTGTCTATGCTTATGTCTTCAAGAGTTTAACCTATTTTATCTTCCAGCCAATTGAGTGTTTCTGTTTTAGCACTGAGGTCTTTGATTCCTTTTGATTTTAGTTTGGTGCATGGTAAGAGATATGGCTCTAGTTTCAATCTTTTGCATGTGGAGAACTAGTTTTCCCTGCACCCTTTGTTTAAGAGACTGTCTTTCCTCCAGTGTATCTGACCCCTTCTTCAAAGGTCAGACTCCTGAATGGCCTGGAGTTGTTTCTATATCCTCTTTTCAGTTATTGAGGACTTATTTTAGAAAGGTGTCAAAGCGGTGAATCAGTATTAGAAAAGTATGTAGTGCCATGGCTTTCAAAAGTGCGGCTTTTTAGGTCCACTGCATCAGACTCACTTAGAAACTTGTGAGAAATGTTAAACACGCAGGAAACAGAAACTAGGCGGGGGCTATGTTTGAATAAGTCTTCCAGGTGATTCCCACGCATGACCATCTTTGCACTGCTCCAGCATTTGTGGAGTGTGTGTTCTGGCGGGTATAGCAGTAGACAGAACAGGTGAAAATGTCTGCCCTTGTGGACCTTATTAAGTTACAAAAGAAGATGTGGTACTGTGCTGTGATGAAATGTTTATTGCTGCCCTAGCAGCGCCTGTAATTATCATAGATACCATTATATTCTTCATTCCAAGGAGCCTCCTATCAATACTCTTGGTTATCAGAAGATAACTAACAGCAGACAACTAATAAGTGGTCCTTTTTTTTTTTTTTGCATTTCAGAACCATCCCCCTTGCAATCTGTATATCCATGGTTATTGTCACTGTTGGCTATGTGCTGACAAATGTGGCCTACTTTACAACCATTAGCGCCGAGGAGCTGTTGCTTTCAAACGCAGTGGCAGTGGTAAGTCCAAGTTGAAAAACTGCCAATTTGAATGTAGGTTAATAAGTTGATGCAATTGTATAGTAGTTCCCTCCAGGAGAAAGTGTTTTGGAATCCGGTTGTCTTTTATTGACCTGAAAGATAATGACTATTTAAAAAATTTAAAGCCCATTTTACTATAGTCCACTTACCAGGTACGGGTAAAATCCTCAATGACTTCTCTTTATTCTTAATTTCTTGTAAAGCAGTTCCACCTATACCTGCTTGAAAATATGTCAAAGACTTTTAGCAAAAGGCATTATTCTTCAACATATTTTTAAGGAGAGGTCGACTGAATATAAATAAATGCAGCCTTTTATATGCAAATTATAGTTCATTCTGTACCATTTCTGGTTTATAAACTTTCCAGTGCTGCCTTAAAATGTTTTCCCCAAAGCATCCCATTAAGGATTTTCAGGTGAACCATGCATAAACTAGTCTCAGGATATTTATAAATTTGGGAAATTCTAGGTGATTAAGCATTAAACAGATGCTCTTGCCATAGTAATTCTCAGAATATTAAAGATACTAGTGTGCATTTTACCTCTCTGACAAGTGGATACACATAATTACACATTTTCCAAAGTCTGACGCCAGGACTGTCTTTGTCCCCAAAGATCATGTTATAGGACTGTTCTTCTGTGACAAATACTTTTATTTTGCATAAAAATTTAGCTGATAAGAGCACATTCACTCATGACCTCCTAACAATGAAAGGGGAAAAATTAACTTTCCATCATCGAATGTCAGGTCCCTTTAAAATAGCCTGTATTACCTCAGATAGCAGTGTCCACAGGAATAAATTATCTCATGTTGCATGAACCCATGTATGAGTTCACTGCAATAAAAAGGTTTTGTCCACTGCCGTACATCCTATCACAAAATCAAATGTACAAAGCTTATTGACGTTGAGGTCAGTCGTCTCATCTTTCTAGACAAAGGGCAGCACCAATTTTGGGGGCATAATGTTGTCCATTAATTACACAGTACCAACTGTGCATCAAGGACAACTAAAGAGTACTGCATTTTTGGGGGAATGGGGGAGATATGTCCTTCATGGAAATTTGCAATGTTACATATAAAAGGAGATTTCAGAATTTTGTTTATCTTGTATATTTTCTCTGACATTTTGGATTTGTGCTGGTGTTTTAGCCTTTTTATAGGAAAGCACAAAGGAAGTAGTAGAGATTCAAGAGTGAGAAGGAGCCTCCATGAGCAGAGCTTTCTTTAGCTTGTGTGATTCTTCCAGGGAAAAGATATCTCAAAACTATTCATGTATATATGACATTCACGATCAAGTCATCCATTGTTTTACTTATCCTCTAGTTGTAGGATTGGCATATGAAACAAATGTAGTACTTCTCAATGTATATCTCTGCCTCACTATAAAAATATGGCTTTCCAGGCTCAAGAGAGGTATTGTATTGTGCAGGGTTTCTGCCTTCAAAAGTAGAATGTCTGAATTGAGCTTTTACACGTAGCAGAGTCTAAGATGATGTATCAGGGTTGATAAAGATTCAGTAAATGGATCATTGCTTTTTGAGGGTGCAAAGAAGGTGCTTGTTTAGACCTTTGGCCATAGTTTTGCAACACAAAATGCCATGGTACCTGCTTCTGATTACTATCTGCAGAGTGAGTCTGACCCTAACCGAACAGAAGGATTATAAAACATACATGTATCACCAGGCTAATAGAAAGTCATAGAGCAAGTTTGACCTAAATTGTTTCATTTTATTCTTTCTGGAAAAGCATTAATTTGCTTCGTTCATTCTTTTGCTAGACGTTTTCTGAGCGGCTACTGGGAAATTTCTCATTAGCAGTTCCGATCTTTGTTGCCCTCTCCTGCTTTGGTTCTATGAATGGTGGTGTGTTTGCTGTCTCCAGGTGAGTGAGTTCACATATTTCCAGAAACACATTTCTGTTTTTCAGATTGGATGTGATAAGGATAACTTTAAAATGAAAAGCAATAGTGCCTCCAGACTTGTTGTTTTTAAAGGGACAGCCGAGTTCTTAGGGTGAATATCAAAAGCATGTTTTCCTCTGCCCATTAGAGGGCACTGCTTGTCTGTGCAGATCTCATTCTGAAGACAGGCAAGAGGCATTTTTTATAGTATGTCTACAGAGCCTAACAACAGCATTTTATTTCTGGTGATAAAATCTTTTGTGTTTCTAAAGGTTTCGTGAAGAAGAGAAAAAAAAAAAGTAAAAAGTCAGAGACGCCAGAATCACCATCCCACCATCTGTATTACTTTTCTTTTGTGCAATGTAGAAGTCCCTTTATTTTCAACATGATGAAATTAAAACCTGATCAGACAGATAGGAATGGTGTCTGTGGGCCTGTGTGTGTGTGTGTGTTGGGTTGTGCTGACAACACACATGCAACACTCTAGGACCCTAGAACTAAGTTCTCAATCAGTTATTTACATCCTAGAGAGAACCATGCCTAGTCACATGTAGCTGTGTTTCTTCTCTGAGAATAATGTAAGATGTTGGCAGGTTTTGTAAATCTTGCATTCGGAATCCTTAGGATGTTCTCTACCTTACCTGCAAAGTGAAACCTAAGTGTTCAGCTAAGACATGCCAGATCGTTTGGTATGAGAAAGATGCAAGCATTCTTGGGATTTCTGGATTTTCCCTGTGAAATGATCTATTATACAGTCAACTCCACCCACATTTCTCTCCCATCAGGTTATTCTATGTTGCGTCTCGAGAGGGTCACCTTCCAGAAATCCTCTCCATGATTCATGTCCGCAAGCACACTCCTCTACCAGCTGTTATTGTTTTGGTAATGCATATTAACAAGTTTATCTAGCTAACACCTCAAATAACAAGTTAGTAAAGAGAAATTCCAACAGACTTTAGATGGCGCTTTACTTTCTCACTGGCTCTATGTATGTTGTGGTGGAGTTTGGGAGGCAGAATATTTTCCATCGCTTCCCTTTATTTAGTTTTTCTTGTGGATTTTTGATGCTGTAGGGTATTCACCACATCACTTCTATTTTACCTTTGTAGAAATTCCTGAGGTCTAAGGAAAATAATTAATGTGGTTCCTCTTATTGATAGGGTCCTCAAAGGAAAGGACGTAGAGTAAAAAGCCCAAACTACTTATAGTAGGCACAGCTAAAATCCACTGTCCAAAAACCAAAAAATGAAAAAACAAAACCTAGATGTCTCATCAAGAATCCTCTATAGTGAAATGCACACAAAATTATTCAAAGAATTGATGAAATTCTAGACAGTGCTGGGATTCTTTGATTAAAAGCAAGGCATTTGAGAGTAACTTTACAGGAAAGAGAAGTCTCAACATTAAAGTTGTAGAATTCTCTATGTAGAGAAAAAGTGATTGTGAATTGTGGGATACAAAAGACTGTAAAAGGTGTTAAAATCCTCAGATACCCATTGGCAGTGTTACAGCCATTTTTACCTACAATTCTGTAACATTTTCCTCAACTGGAATCAGCTGCCAGAGGTACCATAGAATACAGTGAACATCACTCCCCCCACCCCTCATACATTTAATTTATTTCACGATGTTTCCTTGAAATTTCTTTTCAAAGTACTGTATACTCTGTGAGGAATCTGGAAGTTAACGTCACTTGTGGGAACAGAATGTGTTATTCGCGAAGAGGGCTTTCATTTGAAGCGTCTGCTATCAGTCATGCTGTCCTTGGCATACGCAGCTGTGGAGCCTTACTCTGCTGTCCTCAGCACTTCATTCTCTTCCGAGGGTCACACGTGGCAGGCACACGGGGACAGTTAGTGTGGAGGAAGCAGAGGTCAACGGTTTGCATTCAAGAGCCAGCAGCTTCACCTAGAAGTGGCTGTGTTCAAGTGTGTGGGGAGCAAAGAGCTCGTGAGAAAACATTCCCAGGGCTTTGCTTCTGAGTTTTCCAGTTAGGCTCACACTTGATATTTAGTGCTGGCTCTTTCCTTCCTAATCATCTCCATCTCTGAGTCTTTGTCTTTGCAATGATTGACTACCTTGCCTTTTACCCTTTGAAAATACATTCTCTTCTCCTAAACGTAGAAGGAACTAACAACAAAACGTGTATTTCAAATTCCACTCTAATAAAGGCTAATGATAATGACACTGGTTAAAGGGATTATAAGAGCAAACTGTAGCAAAGAAGCTAGTGAATCTGGGCTTTGATCATGATAATAGTTTATCCATACAAGTAATCGTTGGAAAAAGATAACAGTAATAATTGTGCAGTGATGCCACTGTTTGTTATCATCTATGCTCTTGGTTAAATTCACCAAACTTGCTTTTCTCTCTTTTCCCCCAGCATCCTCTGACAATGATAATGCTCTTCTCCGGAGACCTCTACAGTCTTTTGAATTTCCTCAGTTTTGCCAGGTGGTTTTTTATTGGGTTGGCAGTTGCTGGGCTGATTTATCTTCGATACAAACGCCCAGATATGCATCGTCCTTTCAAGGTAACCTCAGCAATCTTGATGGGTTTACATAAATCTCTCTCCTAATACTCAGTCCTCCTTTTGTCATAACTTCATGATGAGAGGTTGGCGGGGGCAGTGTCCTGTGGAATAAAATGTTTAACTCTTGCATGTAGTGCCTTTATGGGAGTTTATTTTAATTGGGGAAAAAATCATTTGTCCATTTTAAAAAAATGTGTTGTAGTAAGCTTTGTGTGTCACATTTTCAAAAAGAGGCGTATTTGTTATGTTGATTTTTCACGAATGGGTAAAATGACCTGAGATGGTCAAAGGATGGATGGGCTCCTTCTATCTTCATGCCGAATAGTCGTGAATAAGCCATGGCGAGAAAGTGTGAGGCAGATACTTTGCTAATTAAAACACTGAAAAGGATGCTGATATGCAGAATAGACGTTTTAAGTGCTTATATATTGTGAGTTGTTACATTGCTCTTTATCTGTGCTATGTACCCTGAAGAAATGGAGATGTGAAATATACAGGGCAAGAGGAGATCTGTGAATTCACCACTTAATAGAATATCCATTTACTATAACTAACATTTTCTTGTGGAAGGGTTTGTCATCATCAGCCTTGAATGTTCACGGATTGATTTGACCTCCCCGTTTATTTGCTTTGAAGAAATAGTACAGCTAATGCTGTCAGTCATGTTGTCAGAATTTGTTTCTAATTATATTTATTGCCTAATGCTGGCAGCATCTTTATTAGCGGTTGTGTAGGAGTTGGCCTGTTTTAGTCCTGTCAGTTCTTATTGTGACTCTCAACAGAAAATCAATATGCCCTGAAAGGCTTGAACATTTAACAAGCTGCTAGTGCTCTTGATGCCACCTTAAAGTGGATTCTAATCATAATTATCAAAAAGCCAATCTTTTAAAATCAAAAACATAAATGATAATGGTACTTAAGTAGCAGAATAATTCAAAAAGATCATCTTTAATGAAACACCCCTTTTAAGCCTCAGACTTTGTTCGTCTAAAGATTTAAAATCAAGTTAAAACAAATATATTTGGGGAGTTATGTTGACTATATCCTATGTTGTCTACACAGGAGATTTTTGCTACAAAGTGGGTTGTGCTTGTCACATGGCTGAAGTGTATATATCACTAAAGTACGTTGTGTGACAGACACACCCATCTCGAACCCAACCCCTGCCTCCTCAGCTCTCTCTGAAGTGAATGTTTTCTGTGCTGTGTCCAGGTGCCCCTCTTCATCCCAGCGCTGTTTTCCTTCACGTGCTTCTTCATGGTGGCCCTTTCCCTTTATTCCGACCCATTCAGTACTGGGATTGGCTTTGTCATCACTCTGACTGGGGTCCCTGCCTACTATCTCTTCGTTATATGGGACAAGAAACCCAACTGGTTTAGAAGACTGTCAGGTAAGACTTTCCGATACCTTGTGAGAGACTGTTGTGGGAAACCCTGGTAGGTGTGTGTATGTAACATGCGTATCTCACAGCTAAAAAATGTAAGCAGCACAATCGCCAGCTGGAATACATTATTGCATTTTAATTAGGACTGAGAAGAAAAAGCAGAAAGGACAGTGAGGGCACAGCTACAGAATCCTTTCAGGAGGCTTAGTCTGGGTTGCTCTAATCACTTCTTAAAAGAAAAGCTTTGTTAGATAGAATTCTATCAGAAATTCTGTGTACAACCCAATTGCTCTTTTGAATCCCTTAGTAACCTAATTATCTTTCTGGATTGAATGCAGTTTTGTGTTTTTATATCATAACATATAACTTGATGAGTGATGTGAGATTTGTTGGGAAGTTATACAGAAGTCTGCAAAAGCCCTTCCCTTAATATCACAGTTATAAACACTGCCTTGTTAGGAATGGGGTCAGAAGAACAGCAACAAGAAAAGAGAGAATACCAGCTCCTGTTATAGTGCTGTTCCTATGTGTTTGTACATGCATGACCAAATTTAGTCCCTGTAGAGGTCCTCGCAGGTAGAAAAGTTATCCATATTTCATGGGTTTGAGTCATAACACGGGAACATTCATGTCCCTGTCCCTAGGTCATACAGATTTAAAGTAGGTGAGCTGGGTTCCAACTCAAGCAGTTTCCTATTTCAGCACAGACACCTTGGGAGCTGTGAGGATGGGTTAGGGAGGGCTGAGACAAAAGATAGAGAACTGAATTTGGTGGTTTCCTCAGCACCACCAGAGAGCCTTGAGGAGAGTCTGAACACATGTGAGCAGGCTCTGAGGGAAAAGAAAAGATATTTAGGAGCAAACCCAGTAGAACTTGGTGACCACCTAAGATGGGAGGAGATAGTACAGTAAATCGATAGGAGGGTGGTGAGAACCTGTCTGTCTGTCAGTGGCTCTCCCAAGCCCTTCCCTTGCATCACCATCTTAGTTCTCAGCAAGATCCGTGGTGTTGCTCCCACCTTGGGAGATGGGGATTTTATTTATTGTACCTTTTTTTATTTGCAGGGTTAGGATTTGAACCCATGTCTGCTGGACTTCAAAGTCTGTGGTCTTTCTAAGTTGGATATTTGGTATTAGAGAAAATTAGGGGTTGGGGGCACAAAATATAGACAGAGGGGCACCTATGTCCTTGTTCTTTAGTTTGGTGAATTTGGAATGCAACTTCCCTTTGGTTTTTATAGTTCTTTATTTTACTTTACTTAGTTTATAATAATTAGTTTTTAAGTCCCCACTAAAAATCCAGGGAGAGTTCTGGTAAAATGATTAATAAATAATATGAGTGCTAACAACAACAAAAACAACAACAAAACAGAGAAAACCTGGGTCTTTCCATGAAAAATGAGAGGTAACCAAGCAGATTAGAGCTCACCAATATGAAGTGGGTACTTTTAATCTCTAATGTTGTGCACAAACTCTCCTAGAAGCCAATCACTTACAACACAGATTTACTATTATTCTTCATTGCTTGTAATTGCCATTTGATATCTTAGGACCACTATTTCTATCTGAGTTTTACAACCCAGCTTGCAAAACTATTCTCCAAAGCAACATCACTATGCAAGTTAGAGTTTTTCACAGCTAACACAAGCATACTGATTGCTTTAAGTGAGTGTTTAATCTCCTTTTCTTGTTAAATCATCTGAGTTTTCTGTAGAGTATTTTTAGCTATTTTCTCTGTTGTTGACATTCAATATACACCCTATTTTGAAGGGGGGTGGATCTTGTCAAACAACACTTACCAGTAGGATTCCTTGACTGATTACTAATGATTAGGATAGATTGGTGCTTATCTCTATGAGATCTGTGTCTGAGGCAGTGAAAACACCTGAGTACCATGGAAAACCAAGCGCCTTTAGGAAGGATGAGGTGTTCCCCTTAGAGTGAAAGGAAAGCCAGGGGAGCAATATGAAAGAGCAAATTTCTTGTCCAATCCCACTCAGTAGGTACTTTGTCCTCCCTGTTTGTAGTCAGGCAACTTTGGAGTTCTTTGCTCTGTGTATGCTATACCCACCCTGTGTCCTTTGTGTACCAACAAACAGGGCTTCCCCCTTGATCATGCTTTGTTGATTTGTTATCTTTCTGTGTTCATTTACGTTGTGTGGTTCTGTCTTTGTTTTGCTATTTTTCTGTCTCTAAGGATGTTTTTGAATATCTCCAATGTCCCTGAATTTAGTGTTAGCCATTCGTGAAACTTGCAGCGATGGAGTGATCCCAGAATGGTTATTTGGTTCTCAAAAATGCCATTAAGTCTTACCAGGGAGTATGGTCATCCTGCCTTTAAACTGTGATTATTGTGACTCTTTATCTTTATAGCTGCCTTGAAAGAGAGTAGCAAAAAGCAACAATCCTCTGTAATTTTGTTTGATTTCCCTCTTAGGCAGCATTCTTGTAGTAAAATAAAGAAAATTCATAATATTTATTGCTTGCAATAGCAAGTATTAGCCTCTGGCCAAAACAAAACACACAGACACAAAACAATAGAGTCCTAAACTGCTGCCCGATCCTTTCCCCAAAGATGTACATTTTGTTAGAGAGAAACTGCAGTGAACTTAGAAGCTGAGAGACTCTTTGCTTGGAGCAGTACGTTCAGTGATTTAATATTACATTGTTTGGTAAAATTCTTTAGCTTTTGTGTTGTCATTTTTGTTTCACTCTAATATATGTGAACAGATTAGCCTTGGAAGCATGGTGGTTCATCAAAATACATCTTACCTGGCTATTTCTGTGAAGAATGGTAGGTCGCCAAGTGGTATTCAGCAAATAGTGAAAGGCTGCCACAGACAGCCAAGGATCTTCAGAACCCTTGTATCTGAGATTTTCAGAAATTTGATGAATCTTTCTGGCCACAGGATGCCAGTATTGAACCACTTTTTGTGTGGGAGCATTTCCAGGGTGCGAAGAAAATGCGCTCTTAAGGGGATAGTCAGATAAACAGAAAGCTTTTTCCTTCCATCTGGAGCAGAGTGGTTAATTCTTCTGGTTGGCTGTTGATATATTTACTTATTTATAGGTACGCGAGCTTCTCACGCAAGGAGAAAGGAGCAGGTACCCCACTGACATCCGGGAATACACAGAGATAGTGAGACCTGGAAACCCCCACCAGGGACTGCAATGTGGCTTCACTTGGTTGCCTTTATTTGTCGGCCAAACCATGTCACCACTGAGAGTGTGTGGGTAACTAGAAGTTGGCCACTCTTGCATGGGGAGATTTATAGAGTACAGTTTTATTTATACAGAATCACTGATGATTAAAAAAAATTGTAAAAAAAATCGTTCTGAACAACACCAGCAAAATGGCTATGATCCATCTTTGTGGACAACGACTATGCAACTCCAGAGCCTCAGATGTATAAGATGCCCGCATTGTGTCAAGATAGCTTTATTTCTGACACATTGCTAAAAGCCGATTAATGCATCTGCAGAATTTCCACAAAGACTGCAGTGCAGCCTTTTAAGAGAATTAAGCTTGCCTACATTCTTAGAGGCCCAAATGATCCTCACTGTAGTCCTAAGAGGAGATCATATGAAATGATTTGGAAACCTTTAAAAACTATTATTCTTAACATCCGGGACATGTTGGCTTGTGCTAATTCATATTTAATTTTGGCTGAAGCTCCCATGCTGGTAGCAGGTGTGGTTCAGTAAATCAGATTTTGCCAAACTGGTTGTGTTTCAAATTATTTCAAGAAAAACAACTGAAGATGAAAGGTAAAGATAAAAATACTACAACTTCTATTGGGCTCTGCAGATTGCAATTACTGAACGCTCCAAATGTAGACTCCTTCACTCTTCTTAAAGAAGTGGTAACATGGGATTGATTATCCCAAAGCTACACATCTTATCGTGAGCACGAATGCAGGCAAGGCACCGGAAAGCCACATGCTCCAGGGCTTTGCTGGGCAAGCAGAAAGCTTCCCTGGGGGTTCTGTTGAGCATGCTTGTCTGACTGCACTGCTGTAAGAAAACCCAGAAAGAAAAGTCTTTGGACTCTGGCAGATACTATAACGCCAGAATCAATCATTCTGCGTCATTCTCCATATGATAATTACTCAGCTTCCGAGATTCCAGGGCACAGTGTGGAGAGAGGCAGGGGTGAATGTGAATAGAGCTGAGGAAACATGGAGGATGCACAGGAAGAGAAAAGACTGGTGGGCAGAACCGAAGGGACTCTCTGGCCTTTTCTGTGCTGCTATGCTGACTAGAGAGTCCAAGTTGAGCTTTCAGGGAAGGAGAATGATATACTTGCAGAGAGGCTGGGTCCAAGTTGCTTCCTGTTTGCCTGGGACAGATGCAGTGTTCTGATGTGGGAAGAAAGATGCCTCAGAAGCAAAGAGCTGCGGGTCACAGAATACAGGAAACCTCTTCTGGAAAAGATTTGATGTTGGGTGTGGAGGAGTAGAGGTTGAGTTAAAAGGCAGCTGTATGGGAATTAACTCAAGAGACTAAGGCAGAACCTCTTCAGCGAGGAGCCTCAGAGAATGTCTCCATATCCCCGCTGCCCTTAGCCCACTGGAAATGCCTAAGAAATCTTGCTTCTTAAAAAAACCTACTATCAGAGCGCTTAGCCCCTTGTCTGCCTGTAAAAGCCATGTCTCTCTTACTATTTTTTTCCCCATTGAGTTTATGGGTACATTTATTTAAATCAAACAATACAGTTACATTTGTCACTGGGATCATGCACCTTTACATGAAATATCATGGCTGTTATTTTTTCCCCATTCCCCTGCCCTCCCTTCACCCCCTTCACCCCTCCCTGTTTACAAAGACTGTTTCCATTTTTCCCTTTTTTCACATTTTTTTATTTTCCATTATTTCCTTTCCCATCCCCTTCTCACTTCCCCTTTGGCCTTTGTCTCTCTTACTATTGATGAATATTTGCTTTTCCCACAAAAGTCTATTTTTGTAAAATAAATGTACCATTTCCCTTTTCTGTGAATATGGGGTTTAATTGCTCATAAGTTTTGTTTTATGCGTTCTAGGCAAAGAGTGGGCTGTAACAAAATGCAGTTTAGTTAAGAAACATTTTCATAGAGTTTATCATTTTCCAGAATTGCAGTAGACCATGTACAATTAATGTAGACTAAAAATTAATGCATTGAAGAAAACAATTTTACAGAACACAGTTTTAAAGCAACGGATAGAAATACCTTTGTTGGTGTCATTAAATATTGTTTGCAGGGGGCTATTATAGTAGTAAGGCCTAAATAAGGAGAGTGACAGTATATCCAGGAGAGAGAGGATGTGGGTCTGAAATCATCTAAAGAATAGATTCAAGACTCTTCCTTGCTTCTGAGAAATTTGAAGAGGTTCTACAGGGATTGAGGAAAAAGAGGAAAACAAGACAGGTCTCTTGAAATTGGAGTCACAAGTTTCTAGGACTGTGGAGATGAGGTTCTTATATTCTGGCCTGTATCAGAATTGCTAGGCCTGACCCTCAGGTGGGATTCAGTAAATATAAGTCCTTATCATGTGTACTGATGCTACTTTATGTTACTGGTCCCTGTGGGGCCACACCTTGAGAACCAGAGATTTAATCCTAGTCTCTCATTCTACCTCTGAGAAATTAGGGAGATGAGGCAATTTGCTCAGTGTGTCCTCCCAAATCAGAGGCTAGAAAATATATTCTGATTCTTCTGATTTTTCTGAGAAATAGGTTGTGACCCCACAGGTGCAAAAAGAACAAGCCAATTTGCAATTGAATTTAAAGCATATATTTGAATCTTCATCCGATTGTCTCAATATTTTTAGCCTCCTGGATCATGACTGAAAGTCCTTATTTGAATACAAAATATTAATGCATTCTTGCTGAGAAACTACCATGGGAAGTTACAACAGTGACAAGTAAATTAATTAAGCATGATAGGATTCTAATGAAGTAAATAATTCTTGAAGTCGCTTTATGAAATAGGTGGTTGTATGTTTTTAGTACTCAAAATAACTCATGTTTTGGTGTTTTGTGCATTTCTGATTTCTGTGCATTTTAAATTTTGCTTCTTTATTTCTTTGTAGACAAGATAACCAGAACATTACAGATAATACTGGAAGTTGTACCAGAAGAAGATTGTCATAAATTATAAGCTAATTTTGGCAGTCTGCTCAAGCACAAAAATACAACATGGATTCGTTACTCCATTTTCTGCAAATCCAGAGAATTGCAACTTTGGTGACAGACTAAAGGAATCGCTTATTTCTCCTAGTGTAGTCACACTAATATCTGAGAAATTTAGTGATAATATTATGTTTGTGTAGAAAGCTGATAGGTAAATTGTACCATAAATTTATATGGTTCTTGAGTCTCTAATACCCACCTGTTGAGGTTAGAGAAAAAGACTAACAAGATAGTCTAATTGAGTGGTCATTCTCTACAGTGTATCTTACAGCAAAGAACGTTCCGATCAAAGGCTGAGGTCTTTTCTGTTTATATGGGTTTTGTAAACATGTTTTGGATACTGTAGATGATTAAACTGTGAAAAATGTTTTCTATACTTCTGGAAAAATAACGTGTCATTATTATGACAAACAGGAAAGAAATTTTACATTGGCTTTGTTGGTACTGACTGCATTGCTTCCCCTTGGGTATCACTGTTTAATGCATTATGCAGAGAGCATTTGAACAAAAGGTAAAGTTTTTACCTAATTCTCTTGAGTATATATAAGGAGAACTTCTAGGGGCTATTATTTACAAAGTAAATCCACAAATTGTGTCATTAAAATCCTTGACAATGTATGTTAGAGATTTTCTCACACATTATCAGACAGTACCCCTGTTAAGGTGCCGTGCTGTTTTCATGCCAGTTCATTTTATTAGATAGCTGTGTCCAACTTGGTATGAAAATTAAGAACCACCATCTCTTTCACTAATAACTTGCCCCTTGGGAAATATATATATATGGATGTATCCATTTTAAATCTTCAAATTCCAGTACTAAGGTGACAGAAATTGCCAATAAAGAAATTACTCAAAATATCCAGACCAACCTTATATGTCTATATGCAATGTGAATAATTCTGAATATTTAAAAAAGTTCCATGGTTATTTTCACATGATGGTGAATTTCGACAGTTTGTGAATTTCCTGTATACATTTTTATTCTGTGAAAATATCTCTCCAGATAAAACTGTCCAGATCAATTAGGAAAAGGCATATATTTTTGCAGAAACTGAGCAAGAAATATCACTGCTAAATAGGATTTGAAACTGATGTCTCTAAAAAAACTCTACTTCTAAATCTAGGCTTTGTCAGTAATTCTTTTCTTTAATTATCATTAATTTGCAAAAGAGATAACTGATAAGTTTACTGAAAAAAAGGGGAAACTGCATGAGTGTGTGTCAGACAGGGGTTATTATGCCACAATTTGGAAATATTGCAGAATTTTCGAATGAGAGTAATATAATGATGGAAAATTTAATTATTATTTATATACCTCTAAGATTAAATGGTCAGTCGTGTCTAAAATGTGTTTCATCCCTTAATTTTGTCCATTTTCAGCTAAGAAAATTTTGAAGAATTACACTGATTAAAGCCATTAGGAATAGAATTAGAGTATATAGACCAGTTGTGCAAAGCAGCAATGATGATTTATAATTTGGAGCAATTCCACTTTACTAATAACATTTAATATACATGCAAGATTGGTTTTTTCCAAACCAAATGCCTAAGTCTCTTAAGTAAATTCATTACAATACTGTTTATTTGTAACATCAAGTTTTCAAATTTTGATCTGTAGTACCTATTTCTGATTTGCTTTTTCGATTTGTCCATATCTCTCCCTATTATCTCTTTCTATTTGTAAAATTCTTTTATGCATCTATTTTTGTACTGTCTAGGCTCATAAAATCTAAATAAGCAGATTCTTCTTGAACTTTTTCTTGCCTAGTGAAAGATATGGTAATTTATGGAAAGGTTTGTGCAGCTTGGTTATTTCTGACATTGATGTGCTTACAATGAAAGCACATTGGTCTCGGCATTTATGTTATTATGCATCTTTAAAGTAGCACTGTACAGGCTAACTAGAATACACACTCATTCTTTCTTTTATTTTCAAAAATGAATTTTGGCTTATTAAATTTCTAATGGCATTGAAATTTTAACCAGGCAAAAAAATGATGATGATGATGACGATGCTTTGGTTTTTTGAAACAAGTTCTTGCTATGTAGTTTAGGCTGGCTTTGAACTCACTATGTAGCCCAGGGTAGCCTTGGACTCATAGCGATCCTTTTGCCTCAGCCTCCCAGGTGCTGGGATTATAGCGATGTGCTACCACACCTGTAGATTTTTATAAAAGTGATGATTAACTTATATTTTAGTTTATTTTTATGACACATCATGAGAAGATGCAGGCTTTCTTTAATCAGTTATTTAACATTCATAAGTCATTCAAAATGGTAGCATATAAAACAGATTTTAGTTTAGAAACTTTACAACTGCATTTGAATATTTTTATACAAAATGAAGCCTGTCTTCTATTTTTAGTTTGATATATGTGCATATACTCATATATATCCAATTGCAATGTTACATTTGTACCAGTATACATATTCAAACGTTTATATAAACATGACTTTATTATAATATAAAAAAGCACAAATGGCCATGCATACACTGTAAGATAACTAATGTACTATTTTCAAAACTTACTTTTTAGTACATGTCACAAATATTTGATTACCATTTTAATAGATCAAGTAAAGACTTCTGACTCCAAAGCACAATTTTATTCACATAAAGAATGCTTCTCCTTGGGGCCAGGTATTTAGCTCCGTGGTTCCGCCGCCTGCCTTGCAAGCACAAGGACCCGAGTTTGTTCTCTGGTACCAAAATGAATGCTTCTCAAACAATTGTGAATACTCACAATAAATATTTTTCATACAGTACAGTTTTGACTCTACTTTTAAAGTAGTAGTTTTGTTTTCCTTTGATTAAGTAAAGAAAATTAAACTATTACAAATGATGACTTGGTTAGCTGTGAGTAAACCTTATTCTTCCTATAAAGATTTGTCCTAGATGAGCTGGGGATTTAGCTCAGTAGTTCAGCCACCTGTCTGGCAAGCACAAGGACCTGAATTCAATCCCTGGTACCAAAAAAAAATAAAAAGAAAAAAAAAAGAAAAGAAAGATTTGTCCTAGAAAAGATGGGGCCTCCTGTTCCAAACATAAAAATCAAGGGCGTGCATCCATACACCTATGCATTTATATTAACACTCCCCCTGCCCTAGTGGCATAAAATTAGGACACTTTATTAAGTTACACTAGCAGCGAGCGGCACTTCCTCTAACACTAAAACATGTATGTTGAAACATATTTCCAGATTGTTTGATGGGTCTAGTGAAATTGTTTCCTCAATTGCTATTTGATATATCAACAGATGGTTAACACGAATATAACCACATAACAGAATCCTTTGTGAACTGTGATCATCCTTCAAGAGACATTGTTTTATCTCAATTTGCAGATGAATGTAATGCTAAGAAAAGGAGCAACTCTGACCTTTATTAATATCGACCTCTTTCAGTTCAGGTGTAAGCTATGAAACGATAGAAAACTGAAGGTCAGAATCCCAGAAAATGAAAGTTAATATGTGATTAGAGTTGTATTTTGGTGTTATACAATACATTATGCGACGTATTTTGGGAATTATTAAAGATAATTTGCTGTGTATAAGCAGACACCTTTCTAAGAAGCTAATTAAACATAAGTTGTAGTACCTCTCACTTAGACAAGTTCCTTCCAATATCTTGTATCTAACTTTAGGAATTTTACACTAATTTTCCTGAAGTAGACCAACAAAGTTATTCTGGCCCCAAGAAACCCGCATCTGTCTTTGTAAGGTAAAATAATGTCTCTTATGGGATAGTCTATATCTATTTTAAGTTTTAAAGTTATCCATTAATGGATGTATTTACATCTACTTATTAGTGGATTTCTTGTGAGATATGTGACAAAGAACAAAATAGTTTCATCTTTGTCAGATTTTATGTGTTGGTTTTGAAGGAAAGAAACACTGAGTGGGATTTAAATTGTGTGTCTCTTTTGTATCTTTTTCTTAGTTTAAAAAAAAAGATTTGGGATTTGAATGCAGATGACTCAAGCAATCTGATTTTACTTGAATGTAGTGTTGCTTCATTTTGCTCTACACGATATGCAGTACGTTGGTGCTGATAGTGTTTACAGAATTAGTTTTTGTTTTCATAACCATTTGAATTCAGCAATTAAATCATGATATTGTGGAACCAGCAAGAAGCTCATAGTAGATATAAATTAAAATAGATAATGTGTCATGTTCATAATTTCTGTTTACTTGTATTTAGGTAAAAGAATTATTACCTAAGTGAATATTTTAGTTTAATTTCCACATAAACAGTATTTGTTGTAAAAATCTATCTCAACATGTGTAATACCTAAAAATGTGACCTATGTATAGGCCATAATTTGTCAGCACTGTACCTACACATAATTTGACAGTAAATTTTTGAAAGTAATCCTTTCGTCCTTTCATTACATTTTCAAATTAGTTTACATCTAAATGAAGTATTTTATATATTTTTAGCGTAGACATATATTCAAAAAACATGAATCATGGTCTTCCAGAAAACACCAATTTTCCTTATGATGTGAGATGTCTTACAACCTCATATTAATATTAACTTTTGGTTTATTGCATAAATTAATGATGCCTTTTCTTTCACTTTTTTGACATTATACCCTTATTATAGGACGTGAGTTTTCATTTGTATTTATACAGTTATCTGGATTTTCTTAGTTTGACTCTACCACATAGGTTTACCTTCTTGGGAGAGTTTTTTTTCCCTCTCTCATCTCTGTTACCTTTGGGTTAAATGCACAGAGTATTGTCTCAGACTCCAAATATAGTTGTCTTGGATCAAGGTGCATTTATTATATCAATAACAGGCTATGCAATTCTATAGATAAAGATCCTCTCAAGAGACTGTGGGGTATTAGGCAGCTGAAAGATGTGCAGACAGCTGCAGTGATTGGAAAGTGAACAGTTTTTTAACCCTCAATATATACACTACTGAATTTTTAAAGGTCTAGTTTTCAAGTGAATTACTTTATTAGTTAGAAGACATGCTTGCTAAGTCCTTTTTACCTCTTGTCGAAGCCTCGGAAAGGCCATCACAAAAGACAGAGGGGAAGAGAAGAGACTAAGGCAGTTTTTTCTTTTGCAGCAGTGACTATCTTTTGTGACACTGTATTTTGCACATGGTAGGTCTCTGGATGTTACAGCTGTGCAATCGGCTGGCGAGTGATCTGACTTTGATGTGATTGGAAGTTAGATCTCACATATTCCTACTAAGGAACCTCATTAGAAGCCTGGTAGGAAATGCCCTCATATCACACTGGGATACAATGCAGTGTTGTTCCCTGGTCCTATGCTTGAACTGTCTTATTTCATAGGGTTTCTATATTAACTGTTTCCTAGAATTTGTCGTTCATTGCAAATTCTGCTTACTAATATAATGTGGAAATATATTAAAGTAGAAAAATACTTCGGAGAAGTTAAACATTGTTTAAAATGATTACATGCTTGTGAAAGAGAAAAAGTACTTGAATGCAAATAACAACACACACACACACACACACAGTTGTTACAAAACCCACCAGAATCCAACAATTCTAAGTAAATCTGATCCTTTCCTTGAAAATATTTTTAATAGTTTTTCTTTGTGAATCTTACTATTACTGCTATAAATCTAGAACTAAATTTTTAATACATCTTAAAAACTGGGCCTTTCCTCCTCCTCCTCCTCCTCCTCTTTTCCTCTTTCTTCTTTTTGTACTGGGGATTAAACCCAAGGAGTGCTGAGCTCTTTTGTTAATTTTTACTTTTGAGACGGAGTCTTATAAGTTGCCCATGCTGAGCTTGAACTTGTGACCCTCCTGTATCAGCCTCCTAAGTGTCTGGGGTCACATGCATGCGCCACTGTGCTCTGGTGGGTTCTTTTTTTGGATGTTATTCATATTCATTTAAGAGTTCCTAGAAGCCTTAGAAATATTAGGATATACTTTGCTTTAAAATGTTGCTTATTTAGGACACAAACATTGGCCCCAAATTTTTCCATCTCTGTAGATGGACTGCAGTACAATAGTAATGTTTTCAGCATATGATACTTAGCAACATTTGGTAACTTTGCAAATACAAGCATCAGATGTCTTTTTTTCCCTGTGCCAAACAGGTGAACAAACATGTGTTTTACAGATGCTAAGTATTGGCTGCCTGTGGTTTTATAATAAGCATGTGCCAGAAAAGGCAAGATAAATGGCCTCTTGTACTGAATGCTCAGTGACCTTCATCTGTCTTACTGTTCTGACAAAGATTTAAGTCAAATTTCATAGAGCTTGGCTCTCACTTATAATAGAGTGGATTACCTGGTAGTAATGCACTGGTAGATGATTTTTAGTTATTAATTCAGGGTTCATCACATGATGAATTTTTATGTATTTTTATAGTGAGTATGTTTGGATTTACTTTATAAAAATGAGTCATTTTTTAGCTTTGTCTAAAATTTGACCCAGTAACAATGGTGTTTTTCATTTGTCAAGGGATAGAAACATTTGTATTTGTGTTGGTGTGTTTATATTAACATTATTAGGTACTATATATATATAAATATATTTAAATACTTTTATGTTTTATGGAATAATTTGCATTAATGGAATCAATTTAACGAAATGACAAAGTGATGTTATTCTTAAGGTTTATTTATGCTGCAAGTCTTCCCTTTGATCTGCACCTATGCTATAGTTAACAGAACAGCTAGATCCTGAAGTTTGGTCAGGAATGTGTTTGGGATGACCTTGTGCCATTACCCAGACTGTGAGAAAATGATGAATTTGGTCTGGCGATCTGAAGTACAGAACTAGAAAGATCCAGCAGAGAAGGAGTGATCCTCAGAACTCCCAGTGGTCCACATCTCTGTCCTCCTTTCTTCACTCTGGTATTGTGGCTATAAAACATGGTAAAGATGATGGTGTGCACTTGGTACATATTTAACCCAGTGTCTTAAACTGTCTGAGCAAAATTGCTTTTCTGCATCTGTGTTCCAACTGCCTTAGGAATATAGAGGTATTAAACTATGAGACTATAAATGGTGCAGGGGGACTTTCTTTTGTAGGTG